ATGGCGAGAACTGTCTTTGCGAGGCCATAAAGTGACCGTGGTCACTCCTAATCCTTTGAAGGATCCGACTTTGACGAATCTTACAGAGATCGACGTCAGTCATTCGTACAGTATTTTTTCCTTGCAAGCATTTATAGACAATAGTCATTTTCTACCGCATCAGCAAATGAAATTAGCTGTAGATTATTTCATAAAACCTATATTTGAAAGCCAATTGAATTATCCCGACGTTATGAAGATTCTTAAGGATAATAATTCACATTTTGATTTGGTAATATCTGAGATGTTTTGTGCCCCTGCATATGGTTTTGCATATAAATTTAACGCTCCTTGGGTGGGCATGTTGTCTTTACCTGACATGTCCACCGCATCTATGGCTGTTGGGAATCCCTTACATCCCGTTCTAAATCCTGACAGTATGCTGGGATATGGTAGGCGTCTTTCTTTTTGGGAAAGGCTTATATCAACATATTCGCAGATCCGCTACACTCTACGGTATGTATTTAATTATTTCTGTAAGTTTGTTGATTCATTGCTACGATTTAAATGCTTAACAAAATTTTCGAATTATTTCTGGCATTTTGTGTCCTTATTGGGATGCATTTCATCATCATCATCATAAGGTCGTCAGTCCTAAGACTGGTTGGACATGCACCTCCACTCTTTACTATCCTGAGCTAATCTTCGCATTTACCTAAAACTAGAACAACCCGCATTCTTAACTATTTGTGAACAGTAATCTAATCTAGATCTACCTCTACCCCCCTATCTAGCCTATTTCTTATTGACATCCATAGAATCCTCTGTTCTCCTATTATTTCTAATACCTCTTCATTTCTAACCTTCTCTATCTACGGTATCCTCATCATTCGCCTGTAACACCACATTTAAAACACTTCTAAACTTTTCGCGAGCATAGAAGTGATTTCTTTTTATTGAAGGCGATTCGACCCTGCGCTATCCTCTGCTTTATATCCCTACTACTTCTTCCGTCCTGACTTATCTGACTTCCTAGATACCTAAAATCAGCCACTTCTAATTTTTCGTCTCCTATCTTTAAATTCGCTCTTTCCCTACTTTTTCTTCCCTAGCATACCAGTATTTTTATTTTACTTTTATTTATTTTCATACAGTACT